TTACATCAGTGTGGCCATGGGTATGAGAGGAGAGTCATGGAGGTACAGTACCCCTTTAGAAACAATTCTGCTTTTCCCCAGGCATAAAGAGTTTGCTGTATAGGGAAACAGGGGGTTGTTTACTGTGTTCAGTAAATACAAAGTAGAAGTCAGTTTGGTCAAATAACAACAAAAAAAAGACAATTCATTTTTTCACTTATTCTTCCCTTCAGATATAGGTGTTACTATCACCACATTGATATCTCACAGTGCTTATCTACACCGTATTAACACATTAAAGAAATGGGTTCTGCAAAAAACCTGCTGCATAGAATACTATTGTGCTACCTGCAATTGTAGGTGGTAGTTGTGTAGTATGAGGGAATTGGCCAAGTCCTTTCAGAAGTGATTAAATCTCTCCTTTTCCAGCACTGCTTGCTGGATACCCCAACACATGCAGCTCTCTAGAGTTAGTGTTTATGTGCTTCAAAATTTTGCAGGAAAGACAGAAGAGGAAAAACTTCTTGCTTTGAGCAGATTCCTGCTCTACCTGGCTTTTCTTCAAAGTTAAAAAAGAGAAACCAAAAGAAAAACAATGTGCACTGTCCAATATACAGCAACTTCAGATCTAGAGATGTGCTACAAATTCCCAGTGGCTGGGTTCAAGTAGGCCATAAATAAAACTGCAGACCCAACTTTAGATACTCTTGGGTGTAACTTAGAGTGAAAAACTCTGGTGCTGCATGCTGAGAGCATGGCTCAGCCATTCATTTATAACAACAGAACTGTGCTGCTGTCTGCACAAGGAAAACAAATCTCCTGTTGTTAGAAATCAAAGACAAGTCCTTCAGACTCTAGGAGACACATTTAACAATGACTAAGTGTGTTCATAAGCATTCACTCTTTAAGACTTTCTATCCTTCTGATTATATAGTACTTCTGTGAGTGTAGTGTATCCCAAAAAGCAAGTTTATTGACCTCCACCTACAATGAAAGTGCTTTAAAAAGGCTTGATGTGCAACAAAGTATGCAAAATTGATCCTTTAAGTGTTGGTGAGGAATGTGATTTGAAGCCTCATCTTTTTTGGGGGGGAGGGGAGAGAGGGGGTGTGTTCAGGATCTCTGAAAAATCCTGGCAAAAGACACGAAAAAGGCTTTTCGAATTGTCCTTGCAATTCATGGCTCATATATTCACTACATGTAAGGGTGGTGATTGGCAGCAAAGAGAAGCGACAGAAGTAAACTTGCTTTTTCCAGTGAATTCTCCTCAGTTTCTCAAGTACTGGAGATTTTTCTGCAGCTGAGAGTTCACCAGTAAGACAGCCTACCTGTGCTTCCAGAACCCACTTTACTATGTGGGGTCAGCTGGATTCAGGTGCAGACAGAAAATTACACACACACAAATATATATCTTATTTGCATATATTGCTTCAGATATTTTAGGCAGTCTTTCATATTCCCATGACACTCACTGCAGTTTGGGCTCCTTTTCTAAGTTCTCCAGCTTCAAATACTGAATTTTAATTCCACTTAATGAATTAGATATGCTTTAGAGCTATAATAAACTTTTCTTGTGAAGATATTTTTGAGGCATTGAATCACTTCGCTTACTGAGAATAAATACTGCCATAATATATTTACATAAATAATTTAAAATCCAAGAGCACAGTAGGTAATAAAAATATATTGCCATGATAAACCATGAAACCAGAGAACAACATTGTTTTAATTAAAAATTACAAATACACTGCAGTAAACAACTTATTTACACATAGTTAAAAGTCTAACTATTGAATATTCTGGACTTGAATCCAAAAAAGGGAAAAATAAGGAAACCAGTCTCTTCACACAGACAAATATTGAGGACCGTAACTGTGTTTAATTAAGATCTACTGTTAATAATAGATTTCAGAGAGTGAGGTTCTTCTTTTAATTTCCCAAGGTAGAAAATGTTATTAAATTTGGCCTTTAACTTCTCATTGACATGTACACTTGAAACTTCTGATTAAAATTTGAGAGGTTGGGAAGAAGCACCCAAAATTAAACTCTTAAATCTGGCACAAAAATAACAATGATCCCTGATTAAGAAATCAAATTTCAGAAACTTCATTACTGTTCTATTAATAAATTGTTGGCTTATAATTAAAATGGGGCCTGCTGGATTTCTTTCATTTTTTAATTCTAAAAAGTTGGAAACTGCAGAGGGAATTAAATACTTTAAAAAAAACCCCAAAACCCCAAACCCCAACAGGTTAATGAATCTAAGAAATGTGATCCTACTTGAACAGGTTCCTTTTCTTTCTGGGAGCGATCACAGAGGAACGAACATTATTTTCTACCCAAAAGTATGTGTCCAGGAAAAACCACTGGTCCTGTCTGCTCCTTCATTCTACAACATCCAAAGCTCACTCTACTCTTGCAGGCTTTTCATAGGAAATCACAGATCTGGGTATAGTTGGGAAGTCAGCGTTTACCTGGTTTTAAACAGGTATAATTTAGAGTAAGATTAAACTTGATGCCTACATTATTAGGTGGTCAAAATGAGCATGCGGTTCTTGTTCCCAGGATGATGCTTCTGACCTTCCCTTGGGTTTCTCTGAAATGTAGATCAGAGAAGAGCTGACACCATGGAAGCTCACTGCTAATCGTGTGCAGACAAATAGCTAGAGCTCGGGGTACGTGCTATTGAGTCTTTTAACTACTTGGAGTCGTATTTTTTTCAGTGTAATACGTTTTTGCCAGCTTGTTTGAGCTTTTAAATGAAATTCTTTCTCAGTCTGCAAAAATATTTCAAGCTGAAGAATAAGAAAGAAAATTGCTTCAAAAGTACAGCTGTCTTTAGGAATTTTTACAAAGTAAGCCGCGTTTTCCAGAGATAAGTAATTTGAATCTGATTCAGATATGCAATGTTCAAAGAATAAATTCAATCTAGATGTGGACAATGGCACAAATGGTTTCTACACACTATTCATGGTTCTTGAAATGCATTTATGATGTTAGATCTAGTAGAGCAACTAAATTTGCTGATTACAAACAATCATCAGCCCCTCCTACAGGGTTTTTATAGAAAACTAAAAATATCCCTGCAGTTAGACATGTCTCAGTTGTTACAGGTTGAAAATGATAATAATAATAAAGTAACATTACTAATTCTCTGTTGTTCTCTCGCTTGTATCAATCTGCACATTTGAACAGATACATCCAGTACCTGAAGGGGCTACAAGGAAGCTGGGCGGGGGGACTTTTTAGAAGGGCCTGTAGTGACTGGACCAGGGGGGAATGGTTTTAATTGAAAGAG